ATTTAGGACATGATATTATGCATATGCGCACCACCCGATATGACAATCCGATATTTAGTCCATGCCCCCCGATATATCCTCGATTTCCGCTATCCGACATAGATTTCAGCCGTTTGACATTAACCCGACATCCGACATTTAAAACCATGATTTATCCCACAGTTTCAAACTATAGGGAGGATATAAGTCATATTTTTCTCTTCAACTTTTAAAATGTTAATTATTTTAATTGTTTAATGTCTACTATCCCATAGTTGATTCAAAAAACTATTTTTAATTTTTTAAATATCCACCACGTTATATCATTCTAACCTTAATTCCTTTTCCTTTCCGCAACATGGATCCTAATACATCAAAATAAGTACTGGGTTCCGAATTGAAATTAGAGTTTGTAAACAGAGACTTATTAATAATGATGCCATATTAAGCTTAAGGTTGAACAAATCCTAATTCTAAAACAGCTAGCGCTTTAAGGTTCAGACATATGAGCATAGGTAGAGAGTTACTCTTGGATTATGTTTTGGGTCTAAGTCAGAGAAAAGAATAACCATAAGGTTGTTGGATTTGAATATGAATTCAAAATAGGAATAGAATTTTCTAGTAGTTTGTTCCAGTTTAAATTTTTCAATTTTTAGTAATTTAACCTTTTTTACATATAGATGATAATGTAAGACCACAGCAACTTCAACATAAGAAACAATATGACCACCCCTAAGGGACAAATACTGAAATATTAACAAATGAACTTCTAGAGGAATGGACATTAAAAGAAAGTTACAAGGACTATTGAGCAAATTTTCTAAGGATAAATGTAATCTGCCCTAAGGTCAATTGACAAACATATCAAATGATCTATATAAAAACTTTCAGATTACCTCCTTACATTAATTTCTCAACTACGGCTTTACCACGTAACCTAAGTCATACTACACTTGGTCAATGTAAGTGGTATGCTTATTTAAAATTTTAAATAAGTTGCATTTCTATCTAGAAAGGTTCTAGTTTTAAATATGCAGGATAGATAAATAATTCATCCATTTATCATGTTTATGAATGTCTCTTGCTTATGTAATACTGAAGGAGAAGTCATTGTATCGAGATCATTGTTTTAAATATCCCCGACATGCCCGATACATACCCCAGTATATTCTTTTACAGGGCTTGCCGCAACCAATATGGTCTCTAAACATCCTTTACCTCTTTTTGGCTATTTTGGGCAATATATCCCCAATATGGTTGACATATCAGCCGATATGTCGACCAGTACATCCTTTTATATTGCTTGTTGTAATACAATATACCGTGTTAGGCAATTTTTGGGTGACATATCATGAATTTTTCATTCTATGAAATGACATTTTAGCCTAAAAAATCAGACAACATGTTGTAACATTGATTTGTACTTTTTTGTTTTGCAAGGTTGATTAGAGACCCTAAACATATACTATTTACATTCTATATACATTCTATATGCTTAAATTTCATTAAGTATGTTGAGATTACATTTTAGTGCATTATATTATACATGCAAATATCCGTTTTTGCCTTCCGATATTTGCCACATATCCCCGATATCCGCAATCCGATATGAATTTTGGCCATCCGATATTTCCCCAATATCCGATATTTAAAACCTTGATCAAGGTCACCTTTTCCTGTACAAATAACACGACTTAGCACTGAAAGAAATAAAACCACAAGGTTATCAATTAAAGATTAGATCAATTTTAGATCTATGGTCTGATTGCTTGGTGCTATATTTCAATGTATACAAATATTTCACAACTGAAAAATATGGATGTTTCTTAAATTCCAAATATTGGAAGGTTCCCATTCATACATTTCAGTGCACAATAACAATGAATGGGTCAAAGTGACTGAGGTCTGCACTTATGCATCAGTAATTGATCATTTTAATTTTGCAGCTTCTAACTTGGCTTAATAATCAATCCTTCTCGTCTTTTGGCTATTGCACTCCCAACTAAAGTCTGCACCCACTCAAATTCATCTCTCCCTCAACCAAAGAATCAGGTCTACTACCTCTGCTCTTATATGTCCATCGCCATTTTGTACTTGCTATCCTTGACAAGCCTAGTAGCAATTTGCGCCACTCCATGCTAATCAAATCATCCTCTTTTAAAGAAGGATCCAACTGAAATCTGACCACGGGCAAAAGCTTCTCCCATTCCCACCAGACTACTAGGCATGTTTAATGCCCCGACTCCAACTGCATTTACTATATTTATATATTCTAAGATTCTAAGATACTAAAAACTAACAAGACAACATATGAACATACGAGTTACTTGAACCATCATATTCTTTATAATGAGTAACTTCTCAAGAAACTGGACAAGCAAATATATAAATGAACCTACGGACAAAATAAAATTGTGAATCCATCATCCACTCCCTCATTCTTTGATATGGCTGTGCCTATCACATAACTCCAAAAGATAAAGTGCATAAAAAAGATTTAGAGGGAAAATGAGTTTGCAGTCTGTAATCCATCCACATACATAATTGATGAGTACTTATCCTACGTTAACGTATGCAACATATTGATATCACAGGGTGTGTGGTTTACTTATATATGGAGTAAATTAAATTGTGTGTATAATTATAAAGCATTAGATCTTACAAGGCATGAGGATCATGAGAGAACTAGAACCCTAGTTTCCCCAAATCTTACATTACTAACCAATGTGTGAAAGGAAGAAAGGGGAAAAAAAAGAAAGAAGGCATTGTTTTGTGATCTTCTAAGTTTTAAACTTTTTCCTATTCCTCATATTGCGCCTTGTTTCTCTTTTTCATAATTTTCTTCTTTGTAGCTTCAGATTATTCCTTTTCACTGGTGGACTGAGTTTTTACTTGCTATCACATGAGCCTTTGCATCAATGAAAGCTTTAGTAATGACAAAAATAGTACATAAAAGCCAAACTCAAATATAAGTGTTTATGCACTCAGAACAGAATGCAATAACAACTGAAAATTAAGTAGTTTTGTATTATGGTTTATTTGTTAAAATATAGGGTTTTCCTTGCCCAGAACAATTTTTATGCATAGAGTCCATCATATGTGTACCATCTTTTGGAATTCAATATAATAATGCAGGAAATAGATATGCACTAAATTTAACTACTAGTAGAGAAGATAGATTAAAAAAAACTACATGGTTGCCTTAATGCCCATGAATTAACTAGACTCGTTAAAGAAAATAATCTCACAAATAGTTTTATTGCATTGCCATATCGTAATTATACCTCTTCCACAAGTACTATTACGGTTCAGGATGCTCCAGTTTGAATAGAAGGTATGAGACCCCCTTTTGGGAACATTTAATTTATAATTAAAGTCTGAAAGTTAATTAACATTAAAAAATTTGTTTTCTTAATATTCGAAGAATGTATTCATGACATGGATATGATAAGACATCAAATTTCGCACTTTTACACAAGGGGATAGATTCAGGGGAGAAGAAATTCTTTCAGATTCATTTTACAAGTGGTATTAAACTAAATTAAAAAATCCTTCAGCTTTCTCTCCATCAAATTCTGGGAACATATTGGCTTTCTTGATCTAAGAACACATGAAAGTTCCAGTAGACGCTTGAAACAGGAGGATGGGTTTAGAATGAAATAACTTCTGCCTCTCACTATCATCACCTTGTAAAATATGGAAGGCACATAGATAACAAAGAAGTTGACACGAATTTGGATCCTGAAAATTTCGTGTGCAGAAAACCAAATGATTTACGGTAGCTCCCTCATACCCTAAGGATTTGAACTGTAACCACGTTATGGTAGAAAAACTTGTTTTAGTAATATATTACGCTCATTTGTTAGGTTTGGACAGTTATATCCTTCACTATGTCATAAGAATAAGTTAATCAAATGTCCACAAACAAGCACTATTGGCCTTTTTCCCTTTCAAAGGAGTTGTAAAGGGCAAAAGAGATTAGCTAGTCAAGGGTACAATAAGAATTCGCTTAATTACAATGTGCCTGACTAAGTATTGAACTAGAAATGTATGCTCATATGCTAGGTTCCCAATTAAAAAAGGAGAAGAAAAAGGAGAAAGTTACAAATAAGAGTTACCACATGCCTCACGGAATCATTTAAAATGGTAAAGAATAAGCATCACTAAGTTTGAAATTTTCATAATGACATGCGAAATCAGAAATTTGAAGATATAGACACAAACAACCTAAGAAAACACCCAAGCTTTTACATGCTATTGCACTGTGCTACAGTTATCAATTGTGTTAAAATTAACTCTAAGGTGTGTTATGTACTTGTAGTACACTTGTTGGAAGCAGTTGTTCAAGCTTGAATATTAGCCACATTGTTAGACGCCTACTAGGAAACAGTATAGAACTCATATCATCGATTAAAATATAATTGTCAACAAGGTTGATAATCTGTGGTTCTTTTTAGGCATTCCGCTTAAACAATATGAAAAGCATAGGAACCGGATAGTGAAAGTAGGCAGCTGGAGATAAAGAAGTTGAGTTACATAGCAAGCAAATTTTTTATGCAATTCTAAAACTAGTGAGCTGTGCAACCACCAGCTAGTAAAGTTGGTTGGAACCCAGACAGGCACTGACTGACTGCGTGTCTAAGAAAGCATAGTGCTTGAAGAAGGAAAGAAGCTACATGCTTCCAAATAGAAATTATTGCATAAAGGAAATCGCATCCTTTCTAAAAAGGATATGAACAAGGGCATTATCTCGTGAACTGTCCTCAAGGAGTCAGGAAGTTTAAACTTTCAGAGAGAAAACAAAAGAAGGGGGCACCACATTTTCTAGTTTATACCTGCATGATACTGCAAATAATGCGTAACTTAAAAAGACAAGAAACTTCAAGCATAATTTTTCAGTTCATTCAAATGAATGATAAACTAGCATTGCCCTGCTAATCAAAACTATAATGCTCTCTAATTAAACATGGACATGGCTTCACCAAGATTCCACCTTCTAATAATCAAGTAATTTAAGTTACCTAGTTCCCTTCTTTGGAACAGATGGCCCATCTTTGGAATTTCCACCTGCGATCGTCGAATGAATGAAAAGGTCCATCTTTTTAATTAAAATAATCATGTAATAAAAAACTTAAAGCATGTATCCATCTTGTGAGAAATTGAAGGTAAAAAAAATAACATTTAACAAATTAAGGATTATAAAATCCCTGTAAGTCTAACCTTCTGAATTTGTCTTCATCTTCTCATTTGGATCAATCATCCCTCCTCTAACAAAAGCCTTGGACCCAGGTGCTTCGCTACCTTGGAAGGACTCCACAAACTCGGCATACAATCGAGCAGTTTCATCCTCCTCCCTCTTCAAAATTAACCAATCAAAATAAGACATTCATCAGATCAAAAACGAAACTAGCTCAATATCCTCCCCCCCCCCCAAAAAAAAAAATCAAAAACTAAGGGAAAAAATGGTTACCTTCTTCTTGGCCTCCTCCTCTTCTCGATGTTTCTGGAAAGGGGTCTTCTTTCGAGTCATAGAGAAATTCATCTCCCCGATCAAAAGCTACAAACAAAAAAAAAACCACTTTAAAACGTAAAAAAAGAAATCACGACGTTCAACAAAAGACACTGCGTTTTCACTCAAAACCAACCTAACGAAAAAAAATCAAAATAAAAGACAATAGAATGGACGAATGAACTAATGGCAAGTAAAACCCTAGAAGATAGGGGAGGGTGGTCGAGGAGAACCTCTACGATCCAGCTGGGAATTCGACGGTTAAAGGAAAGAATTAGGGTTTCGGTGTTTTGGGCGAATCAGCCTGAAGAGAAATAGGACGAAAAGGCCTTCGATTGATTTATGCCGTGCTGGGTTTTGTTCGGACTTCACAGTTCGAACCCGAATCCGTACCTAAATTTAGGCCCTCTTATCTAAATTTGTCGCTAATTAGCACTTAAATACCTTATAATTTTCCCTGCCGCGCACTTAGATACTAACTTCTTTTTAGCAGCACTTTATGTACGTTAAAGTTCTAATATCACTTTAATATCCTCTCAAATGTAGAACTTTTCTCCTAAATGTTTCTGTATGACACTCACAAGCTATTTTTAAAATGTTTTAATCCTTTATAATTTACTGTTAAACATATGTTGATTATATTTTAAACATATCCACGATTATATTTTTAAGATAGAATTATGACACTCATCAACCACTTTTGCCTAAATATTGATATCAATGACACTTTGATCTAAAAAGTGATTAATTAGAGACATGTGGGTCTTTGTGATCGCAGAAGATAATTTTTAAGTGAAATATTAAGGGATTTTTGCACATAAACCCCCTCAATTTCCCATTATGTTTCGAACTAACCCCTCACCCCCCCTCCCCCAACCCCACGCCCCCCCCCCCCCTCCCTCAAAAATACTTTTATAATAAAAAAAAATTCCTTCTCAATATCTCCTTTAGAAATCCAACCTTCTCTCTTCTGTTTCACTCCTTCCTTTCATATGTACTCTTACTTTTTTCCACCATCTCCTTCATTCTATTCTCCTCTCAATCCCCAACCCTCCCTCCTCCTTCAGCTCCCTCTCCCCTTCTTACTCTGCTCACTTCCTCTTCTTCCTCCAATCATTAAAAAAATTCAACCTCCTCCTATTCCTCTCCCAAACACAGCATGAAAACATTCTACCAAAATCTTAGCCTCCTTCTCCTTTTCCTCTTAAGAAAGTATCTGGTAGGGACAGCTCATAGCATTAAAATTGCACCCAAAAGTTATCAAAAATTAGATCTTGGCATGAATCGCGAAATAAAATAATCCAACGTATATATATATATTGTAGGCTGTCTAAAAATCACTATAGATAGCTGATCCCCCATCAAACACCGATGATGGAAGTTACAATCTAACAACTTTCAGAAGGTTATAATTTGAAGACTTTCACGCAGAATGTTACAATCTGACGATCTTCACAACAACTAATGAAAGCCCTAATTCAACAGTCTTCACAATCAACATCAGGAGTTACAATCTGATGATTCTCATATTTTTAAGGAGCCAAGACGAAGATTACAAGATGACGATCTTTGCAAAGCTCTAGCAAAAGAGACTACAAGTCGACGGTCTCTTCAAACCAAAATGCAGATATCTCTCAAACCGTAAGAAATTTGGCAAAACTGACGGAGCAAACCAAACCCTTTGGGGTTGGTTTGGTCGGCTTCGTCTCGTCGAGATAGCCAATTTTTATATATAATTCGTCCAATTCCGACTTACGGTTTGAAAGTTATGACCTGTTCTTCGCAGCAAGTATGTTCTGAAGTCCGTCTGTGAGACTGCACTTCGCCTGAACATTAGACTTAGCCTGAAGCTCGCCGAACCCGCCTGAGGCTCATCTCTGCATCCAAGACTCAAAACGCAGAGGTCATGCCCATGTTCTAAACTCAAAACGCAGAGGTCGTGACCGCATTTGAGATTCGAGACGCAGAGGTCATCGCTGTGTTCCAAACTCAAAACACAGAGGTCGTGACCGCATTCCAGAGTCCAAACGCAAAGTTCGCGCAGAACCCAACTCTACGTCTCAGGTCCAAAATGCACAGTTCATGCAGAACCCAACTCTGCGTCCCAGGACCAAAAATCGCACAGTTCATGCAGAACCCAACTCTGCGTCCCAGGTCCAAAAACGCACAGTTTATGCAGAACCCAACTCTACGTCCCATGTCCAAAACGCAGAGTTCATCTCTGTGCAGCGCAACCTGTGTGTTTTTAGCCTACAACAGGCCCAACTCTGCGTTTCAGGTCTAAAACGCAGAGTTCGGGCCCAGAACGCTGTTTTCAGCGTTTGACTCGTTCAAGCACGATTTGAACGGTTCCAGAACCGTTTTCTCCCCACGATTTGAGAGGATCACCACCCTATCATGGAGAGATTTATGGGGGGCGGTTACACCCTATTAAACCGTCATTAAGGAGAGATTTAAGGGGGGCGGTTACACTCCTTAATCTCCTATAAATAGGGGTAAACTCAACCGAGTTAATGGCTCCTTTTTTGGCTGGCTTTTTGGATCTTCGGCTTGGCAGCAAGGGGAAGATCGACGTTCATCCTTCAGCAACGTTCAACAACAGAGAGCTTTCATCCTTAGCTTATAAACCGATTTTGGTTAAATCAACTCTTTCATAGAGTTTCAAACTCGTTCAGAGTTATCAACTCGATCAGAGTTCAAAACTTACTCTGCAAGTTCTTCTAAAACTCGCTCTAAGTTATTAACTCGTTAAGAGTTATTTTCAAACTTGCCACGCAAGTTCTCCACAACGTCAAATCGTGAGGAGAAGACTACGTTCCAGTGAAACAAGACGTTCGGATCGTCAACGGAGAGCAAACTCAACGCGAGCATTCGAGGGAGGCACTCCATCGCCACTGTGAAGAACCCAGACCTAAACAAAGGGGAGAATTTAGATCAATTCTCCTCTCTTTTGTAATCAGGAAATCCAATTATAACTGAGATTAAAGGAATACAAATCAATTTTTCTTCATTTCTTTTACTACAAATTTTTCACCAAACATGTATATATATATATATATATATATATATTATATATATATATATATATATACTATATATAATAAAAAAATATATATATATGTTAATATATATAATATATATATGTCGGCATGTGTGTGTTGTGTGTGTGTGTGTGATAAGTACATAAAAGACACCTAACACTAGCTGCATCAAACACTGTAGAAAACAAAAGCATGACGACGAGAGATCCGTCGGCTAATGCCAGTCAAATCCGTCACGAAATTGACATTCGTGATGCCAATTGTTCATTATCAATATCCCCTCGCCAGAGAACATTGGCGTGGGTATCCGTCGCCAATGTAAGCATGGCGACGGGAGACGGGGGTATTGGTGAAGGTAACATTGGTGCGGGTTTACCGGTCGTCGCTAAAACAATTGGCGACTGGTGTTACTTTCGGCGGAAGTGTTGAAGACGGTGAGATTGTCACATGTCCGCCAATAAAACATCGGTGACGGGTGCTGGTCTGTCGCCAATGTATTTTTGCGACTACAAGATTGTCGTCGCCAAAACACATTGGCGACGGCGTGTTGTCCGTCGCCAATGTTTATTAGCGACGGAATGCACCCCGTCGCCAAAATTTTTTGGCGACGGCAATCTTGTCATCGCCAAAACACATTGGCGACGGAAAGCACCCCATCACTAATGTGTATTGATGACCAAGTTGAACTCGTCGCTAATGATTATTGGTGACGGAAAGCACACTGTCGCTAATGTTTATTGGCGACGGATTTCCCCGTCGCCAATGTTCATTAGCGATGGACCTTTTCATCGCTAATGAATGTAATTCGAGAAAAAAAAATTGCTACTTTTCGAGCCCCATTTGGGAATATATACCTGTTGCTTTTAATATTCATAAAATATTCAACTATATTCACATTCATCAATTCACATCTAACAATATTCACATTCATCAATTCACATCCGATAGTATTCACATTCATCAATTCACACACATAATATATATATATATATATATATATATATATATATATATATATATATATATATATA